ATCCATAAAACAATGCTTGAACCTTTATTCTTCAAATACTGATACTTAGAAAATTGGGCAGTTTATGTATAAGCAATTCAGGCAGTTGTATTAGACACGTGTTTTTTGCTCATGATCATTAGTCTGGGCTCCAGGAAATAGTATGTCACTTTATCAATCACTATGGATTTGACTTGGGAAAAGTATTCAGATCCTCTGAACTGTAAATGCCTTATGGTTACAAAGAGGATAATAATCATTTCCATTTAGTTGGGTTGTTTGAGAATTAAAAGAGAAAATGCACATGAAAAACTTGACAAAGTGTCTACTATTTATTAAGTATATGACACTTCTTAACAATTTTTAAGGTATGATTTCAAAAATGATAACTGTAGGAGCAAGAAAAGGTTGAGGCCCAGGCCAGGTCTAAAACTGTAAACCTAGTTAGTAATGGGGCCATGTCATAGGCAAAGAAGACCACATGAATAAGTCAGAAAAAGTGTCCTCTAGAAGCTCACTGTACAGAGAAAAGTACGAGTAAGTATACGGGGATGCTTTGATTCCAATAACAAGAAGCACATTACGTGCAGTGAAGCTCCAAGTGAAACAAGTCACTAAAACTGTATTGAGGCATTTACAAAGCCTTCACAGAAGAAAAAGTATTTGAGGTGGTGCTTCAAAGAGGAGGGGAATTTTGACTGCTTGTTTGGAGGTTCTCGCTAGGGGGACATTCCCCAGTGCTCATCTATTGGGAAGTGTCACCCTCCTCAACCTAGTGCACAGCTTCTGGAGGGATGCACATGGAGCAGTGAGGCAGGAAGGGGACACCCGCCTTGCCAGCCAGGCCAGCTGAGTCAACACTGGTTGTCAAAGTGTGACAGATACCACAATCAGATAACCCTCACATCCTGAGAGAAAATTTTTCAAGTAGAGATTGGTACAGGAGTATCCTAAAGACTGAAACCAATGCTCATGAGGAGGAAGTTCCCAAAAAACAGAATGAGTAGTTTTGTAACCAAAAGCAGGTTCAGTCACTTGCCACTTGCAGAATCCAATTAACAAGAGCGAGGTCTAGTGTAAAGAAAGTGACTTTCATTTCAAAGCTAGCTTAAGGGAAGAAGTACAGGCTTCCTGCCTAAAGGGTACCACTTCGCTTTTGGAGCAGAAAGTGGGCACTTTTAAAAGGTGGCGTGGGAAGACAGCAGGTGGTGTGGGGAATCCCTGTGCTAGCTTGGTAACTTATCTACCAGGCAGTTGAGTTGGCACCCTCATGGGCAGAAATAGGTTGTAACGGTGGCCAAGAACTCTCTACATGGAAGAGAGTTTCATAGCAGGATGCTGGGTTATAAACCAACGGTTGTCTCTGGAAGCAATCTTCTGGTGGGTGAGAGTTCTGTTCTAGAGCTTGGAACACATGTTTAGTTGAACTTGTCCTATAGAGAGTGTCTGGTGAAGGGGAGGTAGAAGGCCACAATTGCATTTCTAAAGTGCTAAGTAGTAAGTGGGGAACAGAGGGAAATAGAGAAAAGAGAAAATAATCTTAAAAAGTAACTCATTAGGCCGGGCGCGGTGGCTCAAGCCTGTAATCCCCGCACTTTGGGAGGCCGAGGCGGGTGGATCACAAGGTCAAGAGATCGAGACCATCCTGGTCAACATGGTGAAACCCCGTCTCTACTAAAAATACAAAACATTAGCTGGGCATGGTGGTGCGTACCTGTAATCCCAGCTACTCAGGAGGCTGAGGCAGGAGAATTGCCTGAACCCAGGAGGCGGAGGTTGCGGTGAGCCGAGATCGCACCATTGCACTCCAGCCTGGGTAACATGAGTGAAACTCCGTCTCAAAAAAAAAAAAAAAAAAAAAAGTAACTCATTCTCTTTTTCTTTAAAAAAATACAAGTACTTGATTACAGTTTGATATATTTGAAGTAGATTGAGATAAAGCAAGGAGTGGAAAAGAAGAGGGGACTACAGTAATTCAGCTGAGAAAAAGATGAGTTTAGTTTGCGAATACCATTGAATGGCATGTTGGGGGTGTATACAGTACCCTGAAGACAATGGTGAATTGAAGGATATTAAGTTGGGGAAAGACAAGTCTTCAGGTTACAACCATGGAATGGGACAGCTGTGGCAGCATAGGCAAAATGGGTGTTTATCGTGGTCAAGACAATCTCCAAAGGAAGAAAACTTCCAGAGGAGATAGCTAAATGTTCAGTCAAGGGGCACAGATCTATGCTCTGAGGAGGTGGGAAGGGAAGTACCAGCCATAGATCCTGGAGTCTGTAATGTTGGATGGAAACCCAAGAAGCTACCCAAATAAGAAGCCTCCCATTATAATAAATAGCTTATTCCCTGACCCAGTGGTCAGAAGTTTGTATGGAGTCTTTCAAGGGCTCACAAAGCCAGTCCTCTATGAGTTAGGATGAAAGAGACAAGGTACTTCTGAAGCACCCTTGAGAGTTAAAAGGAGATGTTGAGAAGTGACTGAAAAGAAAAAACAGAGCCACTGAGAAGTCCGCCTTCATCACCCAAAGGATAAGTTCTCTTCTTGAAAATGCCTGGGAAGTATGTAAGGGGGAAAGAGAAACACATATAAAGAAATAAGTCTGGGGACTAACACTTCCAGGGCAAGGCAGGAAAATAAACACTGTCTTTACAGACATAAAGCCTGAGATTGAACTCCAAATCCATTTGCAACTGTATGATCTTGGATATATTACTGAATTTTTTTAGTTCCACTTTCCTTATCTGTAATGGTGATTATTGTATTTATGCTGCAAGACTATTATTACAAAGGATAAATGGATAATGTATGTCAAACATGTAACACAATGATGGTGAATCACACCCATCCAAACACGGTAACTCTAATAACTCCTGTCCCTCCCCTCCATCCCTTCCAGCTCTGGCAGCCTGGAGGTGCCAAGTACATGTATCTTGATGATTTTATCTCAGCTCTCTATGGAGCTCAAAAGTATAGGAAAAGCAACTGAGGCATCCAGCCCTGACACAAAGAAGACCGCCAAATCCTGCCCCAGCTCCCTCAATTGGCCCGTTAAAGACTTTTCTTTTTTTTTTTAATCATTATTTTCTCTATTGTTAGAAGTCTGTGGCCGCTTTTCTAATAAGCAGATGCATTTTTGCTTTTCTAAGAAGCAGGTACTTTTCTAAGAAGCTGTTAATCTCATGGAGCTCGTTTTAATATGGCTTTTAAGGGCCAACAACATAGTGTATATTTCAAAATAATTCCTACTGGATGTTTTGTTGAAACAATATATGGTTATGAATAGCTACTGCCATGTTTAACAGCCTTGTCTGTTAATTTATCAAAGGGAAGTTGAAGCAAGTATATGAATTAATTTGTTTTAGTCAATAGGTATTGGGAACTTGAAGCATCATTTAAAAGTCATTGGAAAAACAAAATTCACTCTTATTTTTTCCTGAGCTCCAAGCCATATTATCAATAAAAGAAGATGACTAATCTTCTAGCCCCACTGGATCCTGATATAACATCAGATTACTAGCTCAGAACTATAAACAAATTTCTTATCACCTAAAATTTCAGAGTTTAATATCCTCTAGAAAACAAGCTTGCAACTATATGGAGAGCCATAAATTATTAAAATTAAACTACAGTCATGTCTTGATTTACTCACTGTATTAGAGGGCTCTCAGCATTATTAAGGGGATTGAAAATGGTATCATTTCAAATGGTATCAAAGAGCTGATAAGAGTCACATGGCCTGATGTCTGTTGGTTTCTCTGGCACCCTGAGCAAGTCACTTCACCCTCCAGTGCCTCAGGTTACTCGTCTATAAAAATGGGATGATGGCTGCCCTAGTATCACTCAGGATTACTGAGGGCACATTTTTAAAATATTATTAAAAATTATAATCCACAATATAAAATCTGCTGGAATTATTGACATTAGAAGTGGTACAATTTATGTCAAATTTTAAGTTGTCTGCTTATGAAAGACTTGTTTTCAGCACTGGGCTTACTAATGCCTGACTTCCCTCTAAAAATAACAAGCAATTTCAGTAAATTGTAAAAGGGGAACATTTGCACGGCCTCCTGTCAGTAAAGACCATTTATGTGCTTGAAAGAAATACCATTTAGATATGACATAAACCCTGCAATTGCTTACAATTAAACCTTGCTCAGCAAAAAAAAAATTCCCATAGAAATTTACCATGTCAACAGCACCTCCCTGGGACATGAAAGACCTTTATTCCAACAGACGAATTGAAAGAGGATTTATAAGTGTCACTGCAGTTTTTAAACACTTTTTGTTTCAAATGCAAGTTATCACCTCTAATTTACAACAAACATTATCTGTGTGGTGACTACTCAAACTACAGCTCAAGCCCAGATAGCTCAGTTGAGATTAAGCTCCATTCCTTCAACGGCCAGTTGGATATTCTGCACTCAAAATATCCATGACTGAACTTATCAGCCTCTACACCAAAACTTCTCTTCTTACTTTCTTCCCATGATTGTGACTGGTTTCATTTGCATAAGCTAAAATCTGCCCAATGAATGGAGTCAAGGATAGGTGCCATCCAGTCATCTGACTGCCATTTAAAACATCCATCTTCCATACGTCTTATTTTCCTGGCTGTGCCTTCTTTCAGCTATGCCTAAAGCGGCCTTACTCCACCATTTCCACATTCCAGCAAGCACTAGGAAAAGAAAGAGTACAGAAGTGGGAGTGAAGCCAGCAATATTTTTGCTTCATCTTATGTCTAAGAATTAAGGTTTGACATGTCTAGTGATACAGAGTTTGACTGTTTTCCTGATGTTGACGAAAGAAATTTAAATTAGAATTCAAGCACTGTACCACCACTTACTAGCTTATGATCTTGAGAAAGTCATTTGGTATATCTGACCTCGGTTTTTTCACTTGTGACTTAAATGTGATAATAACTACTCTCTTTTCTCACACAGCTGTGGTGAGGCTAAAGAAGAGATACTTAAATTTAAAGATGCAATGTCTATTGCAAAGTTTTAGGTAGTACAAATACCATCATTTTTCTTCCAAAACTGCGACCGTGCTTGCATCTCCATCTCCGCCTCCTTTCCTTCTGTTTAGGTGAAGCGTGAAGGCTTCTCCCACCACAGGCCAAGCCATCTGCTGTGTCTTGCTCCACTCCATTTCTTCCTCCTCACTCAAAAATTTTGTTCCTTTTAGATCTCTTTCCTGAAAGAGAGAGATCTTTAATCTCATCTGTTCTCCTAGCTCATCTTCATTAACATACAAACACGTTGCAGGACCTTTCATTGAAAGTCTTTCTTTACCCCCCACATTTCTCTCCACTCATTGTCTCTGTTTCCCTCTGTGTGTGTTTATCAAATGCACAACTCACACCCATTGTCTCCCCTTCCTTACCGCCTATTCAGTCTTCAACCCATTTTAATCCCATTCTTTCCCTCCTTCTGTAGTCAGCAGAAATTGTTCTTCTTAAAGTCACCATTGACCTCAATGCTGTAACTTAATCTTATTCACTAACCTCCCACCCAGACTCCCTAGGATTTGGCCACTCCTCTTCTGAAATCTCCTCCTCTCTGAGTTCCTCCACCCCACTATCCTGGTTTAACCCTCAAATTAAGATTCTGAGCTTCCTTAGTTACAATCTATATCTATGCATATGTATATCCTCAGCTACGAACATAGCCATCAGCACCATGCTCAGGAAGTGTTTTTATTTATTTGCCTTGCTTGCTTGTTTTTAAAGAAACTGGTCTCCCAGTTTTGTTTGTTAGTTTGTTTTGAGTTTAAGAAGGATATTATATTTGGATAAAGAATATATGATATTCCAAATAAATTCTAGTTTCTTTTGTTCTTTTTTTTCCCATCCTGTAGCAATTTTTATGACTATTTATACGTATATGTGAAATAAAATGATAGGTATTTGTCTTGTGCTATCTTTGATGTTTACATTTTTATTTTCTAAATCAATTTTATACTGGTCTCAAAATGAGCTGGGTTGTTCTGCTTCTTATCTGGGTTGTCCCAGATGTGGCTGTCCCATTCATTTATGTAATGTGACTTTGACATGTGTAGAGGTCTCACACGATTATCCATAAAGTCCTCCATGTCTGCTATACTGTCCTCAGTTTGCAGTTTTAAAACCTCGACCTTTTTATTTATTAGTATTAGTGATGTCAGGCTTTATGCTTCTATTTATTTTGGCATTACTGAGGTAAATTTACTTTATAGTAAGTTCTCAATAAAAAACATTAATTTATATTAAGGTATAATATGAACACATTTAAATGCACCGTTTTTAGTGTTCGGTGCTGAGCTTTGACACCATTTTAGGTAGTATCAGTATTATGTTTTGATATTACTGATTATATTTTGTTGTATAGTTGTATAACCACTACTACCATCAAATCATAATACAGGTTGAACAGCCCAAAGAATTTTTCTGTGCCCAGTGTATCAAGCTCTTCCCAGTCCTCTGCTCCGAGCAACCCCTGTTCTGTTTTCTGTGTCTGCAGTTTTGCCTTCTAGAATGTCAAATAAATGCAATGGTATAAAATGCAGCCTCTTGAACCTGGCTTCCTTTACTTAGCCGAATGTTTTCAGGTTTATTCATGTTGTGTGTATCTGTAATTCACTTCTTTTTTATTCCTGAGTAGTATTCCATTGTATGGATTATTACTTATTATTTATTCATTTATCCACCAGTTGTGACAAGCACTCTCATCAACTCTCAAAATTGTCCGTGTTCTAATCCCTGAAAGCTGTGAATATATTACCTTACATGGCAAAAGGGACTTTGCAGATGTGATAAAGGTTATAGACTTTGAGACTGGAAGGTAATCCTGGATTATCCTGGTGGGCCAAATATAGCCACATAAATCAGGAAGATGATAGCATCAGAAGTCACTGGTGCCCCGTTATTGGTTCTGTTGTAAGGAACCACATGCAAGAATCAGACAGAGACCTACAGGATCTAAAACTGGCACTCAGCTGACAGCCAGCAAGGAAATAGACCTCAATCTTCCATCCCCATGAAGCCAGATTCTGCCAACACCTGAACAAGAAAAAACACATTTCCCTTAACGCCTCCAGAAAGGAATGCAGGCAGGCTGACATCTTGATATTACCTAGTAAGTCCCCTAGTAGACTTCTATCTGCTAGATATTCAAAATAATAAATCTATATGGTTGTAAGCCAGTCAGATTGCAGAAATTTCTTACATCAGTAGCAGAGAACTAATATACCAGTTGAAGGACATCTGCGCTGTTTACAGTTTTTGGCAATTGTGAAAAAAAATCACTGTAAAATGTAGAGTATAGGTTTTTGTGTGAATCTGAGCTTTCATTTCTCTTAAGTGGAATTGTTGGGTTATATAATACGTCCATTTACTTTATCAGAAATTGCACCACTGTTCACCAAAATGAGTGACTTCATCATTTTGCATTTTTATAATTAATGTATGTGAGTTCCAGTTGTTCTGAATCCTCACCAGCATTTGGTATTGGCAGGGAATCTTTCATCTGTTTGTTTGTTTGTCCAAATCAAATGAGTATGTAGTGGCATCTCGTGGTTTTATTTGCATTTCCATAATGATTAATGATTTTGACTTGGTGAAGTGTCTGTTCACATTTTTTTTTGCCGAATTTTAATTGGGTTATTTATTTTCTCATTATTGAATTTTGTATATTCATATAGTCTGGAGTATTTATTTCCCAGTGCTGTATATATTACCACTAACTTGGCGGCTTAAAATAACAGTCATTTATTCTCACGCAATGTGTATGTCAAACGTCCGGCCATGGCATAACTGGGTTCTCTGCACACGGTTTTAGAAGACAAATTCAAGGTGTCAGCTTGTTGCGTTTTTATCGGATCTCATCTGGATCTCAGGTTCCTTTTCTTTTTTTTTTTTTATGGTATTCAGAACATCGCTTTATAAACTGTTGTCAAATTACCATTTTAACATGAATACCCAAATAGAGAATTGAGAAAATTATTTTAAATTTTAACTCTACCACCCCCTCTCAGTTATGAAGGTTCCTTTTCTAAGCTCATTTAGGTAGTTAGCAGAATTCAGTTTCTTGCTGCTCTAGCAGGACTGAGGTCACTGATTTTTTGTTGTCTGTTGGCCACGGGTTGCTCTCAGTTTCTAGAGACACCCTTAGGCCTAGCCAAGTGGCTCTCTCACACCATGGCTGCTTATTTCTTTAAAGCTAGAAGGAGAATCTTACCAGTCTTTATGATGGATACTTAGCAATGAAGTGACTGTCAATCACATTTCTCATAGAATGCCATCTAATCAAGGGAATAACTATCCCATCATGCTATAAGTTTCTGCCATCACTCAAGGGGAAAGGATTATGCAGGGTTTATACATCAGAGTGTGAAAACCTTAGGCACCATCCTGTAATTCCGCTAACCACATCTGGATACAAGTCCTTGGTCAGACGTGTTTCAGAAACGATTTCTTATAGTCTTAGTTTTCATTATTGTCAAAGGAAAAAAAAGCCTTCTGAAGAATGTAACTTTAATTTTGGAAAAATCCAGATTTTCTCTTTTTTTTTTCTTTCAAGTATCATTTTTTTTAAATATTTTTTGCTGTACCTAAGAAATCTTTGCCTAACCCAAGAGCACAAAGAATGTCTCTGATTTTTTTCTTTTAGAAGCTTTATAGTTTCAGGTTTTATATTTGAACAATTACCTATTTTGAATTAACTTTTGTATGTAATGCACAAGTGTAGGTCACATTCTTTTTTTGCATATGGATATACAATTGTTCTAGCCCCATTTGTCAAAAACACCATCCTTACTCCATTGAATTGCCTTTGTACCTTTGTCAAATATCACTTTTAATATATGTACGAGTCTATTTTTGGATTCTAAATTCTGTTCCATTGAGCTACGTGTCCATTATTTTGCCAGTGTCCAAATTACTACAGCTTTATATTCAGTGTTAAAATTAGAATGAGGCCTTCAAATATGTTCCTTTTCAAAATATTTTTGGGTGTTTATTTTTATTATATTACATTTATATTTATAAGGCAAAAGGTATTCACTTGATAAGATGAAACTTATTTGTCTATTTTTGAGATAGGAGTCTCCTTCTGTAGTCCAGAGTCAGGCTGAAGTGCAGTGACACAATCTCTGTTCACTGCAACCTCTACCTCCTGGGTTCAAGCAAATCTCCTGCCTCAACCTTTTGAGTAGTTGGGAGTGCAGGCGCCTGCCCCTAGACCTGGCTACGTTTTGTATTTTAGTAGAGACAGGGTTTTGCCATGTTGCCCAGGCTGATCTGGAACTCCTGACCTCAAGTGATCTGCCTCCCAAGGTGTTGGGATTACAGGCATGAGCCACCATGCCCAGCCATAAAATTTAGAATTCCTTTTTCAATTTCAACAATAATCTTTCTGAAATTTTTGTTGAGCTTCTATTGAATCTGTAGGTAACTTTGGAGAAACCTGACATATTAACAATATTGAGCCTTCTAATCTATGAATATGATGTAGCTCATCATTTATTTATTTATTTTCTATTATCTTTTTTTAAGGGTTTTGTAGTTATCAGCATATATTTCTATATATATTTTGCCAGATTTATACCAAAATATTTCATATTTATTAGTGCTAATTTAAATAGTACTTTTGGAATTCAATTTCCATTTGTTTATTGCTAGTACATACAAGTACTGCTGATATTTATACATTCACTTTGCACACTGCAACATTCCATTTCCTAGTTATAGTAGATTTTTGAAAATTCTTTGAGATGTTTCTATATAGGTAATCATGTCACTTGCAAATAGACAGAGTTTTCTTACTAACTTTGGAATATGCATATTTATTTTTTTTTTGAAACTTATTTTCCTGTTTCACTAGCTAGGACCCCCCTGTACGTTGTCCAATGGGGGAGGTGAGCGTAGATATTCATTTCAGAGAAAAAGCAGTCTTCAGTAGATGTTTTCTATTGCACAGAGAAAGTTCCCTTCCATTTCTAGATTGCTAAAGGATTTATATTATTAAAGGATCTTTATGCATATCAAATGCTTTTGGTATACCTGCTAAAAGTATTTTAGGGTTTTTATCATAATTTTCTTGATATGGCAAATTATATTGATTGATTTTTGAATAATGAACTAACCTAGCATTCTTCGGATAAATCCTATTCAGTCAGGATATATTATCCTTTATATATTGCAGGCTTTGATCTACTAAAATGTTTAGAATTTTGTATCTGGTTTATGAGGGTTATTTATCTCTCATTTTCTTATACTGTTCTTATTTGTTTTGGACTCAGGGTGATATTAATCTTATAAAATGAGTTGGGAAGTGTTCCTTCCTCTATGTATTTTCTGGAAAAAAAAAATGTAGGATTGGCATTTTGTTCTTCCTTAACTGTTTGGTACAATTTTTAAGTAAAGCCACCTGATCCTGGAGTTTCCTTTTTTGGAAGTATTGATGTTTTTTAAACACAAATTTACTTATTTAAAGTTATAGAACAATTCTGATTATTGCTTTAGTGAGTGAGCCTAGGAGTTTGTGCTTTCAAGATATTTTGCTATTTTATCCAAGTTGTTCATATATCAGTATGAAATTATTTGTAATAATCCATTATCATCCATCTAAC